ACCAGAGTAGACATATTGAATCCATGGGAACTTCGCATGCATCGCTTAACACCATAGATTGTACTCTAGTGGAGGCCAACAGAAGTTACCCAGTCTCATGGAGAAGCATAGATATGGAGAATCTTGAGCACACCTTCTGGACACACAGAGACTAGAAATGAATTTTCATGAATAAAATGTGGAAACATAGTTTTCCATCAACTTGCACATGTTCCCATGTGATATCTAAGCAATGGAAATGTGACTTTCAAAAAGTATATTTAGCTGGAAAGTCATGTCCAGATCTTTCAGTTCCTTTATTCTCACTAAAGGTAGTTCATAAAAACAAAAGGTCCCCAAATTCAGATATCACATAGAGCTGTGACTGGCTTGAAACCGAAGGCAGTTGAACCCAGCTAGCCTAAATAACATTCAAGAAATTGGAAGGAGCATACACACTTGTTCACACATTTCATCTGGATCAGAATGTGGTTTTTACGAGTTAGCTAACATTACATCATTCTGAAACAATCCAAGAGAAATACTAGAGATTTTGTTTTATTCTTAAAAAACTCAGAAAAACTCAGAAAAAGTGTTTATGTCTAACTTAGGGCCCTTAATTTGTGTACAAAATGTTCAAACGCTGAATCGTAACATTTGACCTTCTCACCAGTATTTGACTTCACTAGAAGAAGAAAAACAGTATAGTTAGTAGGAGAGTCATCTAGCAGAAGAGTCAAACAAACCATTGGTGCTTTACTCTTTGACCATTTAATTGGTAATATAATGTGGATGTTATGGCTAAATTTCAACAATGCCTCTGTTGAAATAAATAGAAATTCTTGGATTGCAGAGAAATTTTGGTTTCCAAAGCTATCTTGTCATACGTGAACAATATATTGATCTACTGTCCAAGCCTTCTTTTAAAAAGTATCTGTCCCCTTTAAGTAAAATAGATCTAGATATCTGTAGATAGAACTTTTATACCATTACATGATGGGCATATTTACATCTCAGCCATGGAGATGGAAATGCACCAGCAGTAGCACAGTAAAAACATTGCTTGGGCAGATCTACAAACCCAGATTTGATTCAGCATGCCCAATATCAGCCCTCAAATATAGTCCACGCAGGTACTCCCCCTTTCTGCAATGGAGGCAAAAGGGAATCCCCACTGCTCATCAGCACAAAATATAATTTGTGGGCAGGCACCCTAACCATCTCCCCCGCCCTTCATGTTGTGGTGGTTACAGTACTGACTGCTGTTATGTGCTGTAATGCCAGCTAGGGCAACAAAGTTCTGGGGCAGAAGAGAGAAAAACCTTCTACTACCCTCTCCTTTTCCCCATTTATTCCATTGCCCTAGCCAATGTCATTGCATGCAATGGAGGATTGAAAAACCTGTATCATGGCTGGAGACTGGTGCAACACAGGAGATGGAGGGGTGGGAGGAGACTCGTAGTGGGGACACCTGTGGCTGGTTCTGTTTCTGAACCAATCCAGCTATTCCCACAGGCCCAAAATTTGGACTTTTCCCCGATTTTGAGTAATTCTGGGCAAGACCATGTTAAGGTAGCCTTGCCTTGCGTTACACTGGATCAGCCCTATGCGACATTTGGCTGCCATGGGACTGATCCATCTGTACTCTGATTTAAGTGATCAGTGCATCTCATTCTGCAAGTTTTGAGTGAGGCATAATGCTGGCTCATTGAACATTCTTTAGCAAGTATTATTTTATGTCTATACTTCTTCATAGGAACATCCTGTGGATAAATTGGGATAGAAGTTTCTGTTTAGCCTTCAGCAATTTCTATGAAGGCAGAAAGTAGATGAAAGGAACTGTTGTGAAATAGTTCCCTGTGCATTAAAAGGGTACTAGAGGTGGTTTTTAAATATAACAGCATACAAAATCCACAAAAGAGTGGTGGCTATAGGGTGCCAGAATCTTGTAGGTATGCAGGGAAGATTGCATTTGTTGTTCCATATCCAGCAATGAAGAATCCAAGGTTATTTATTTATTTGTTTGTTTATTTAGAACATTTGTATCCCATCCTATTCTCGACCTTTGAAGAGGGACTCAGGGCAGCTTCCAACAATATAAAAACACCAATAAAATACACAATTACATAAAATGATAATAAATATACATTTAAAAACAGTTCAACAACTTTAAAACGTTTTCCATATGATAGTTTTTTTAAAGATCGCAGTCATAACTCCTAAGTACAGTAAGTTCTCTGGATACATAAGTTCTGGATCTGCAATTTTTACTGATTGAGGCTTGTTATGTCTCATATTATTAAATAGCAATGACCTGAACGCAGGCACACAGAAACATGTGTGTTCATGTTGCTGCCAGTTAATAATATCTGTGCAAGGTCCGGAACCGAACTCCCATGGATATGGTGACCCTACAGTATGGTTTAATAAAAGTTTCTGCAGATATAGGAGTAGATCCTTTGTTTAGCATAGAGAAATAAACTAGGTAACATTTCTGTTCAGACACATAATTCATCTCAGCAGCCATGAAGGATATAAAGTTTTCGAAAAGAAAGTTGGGATTTTGGTGGCTATAAAAAAGGAAGTTGGAAGATATGCACGTGGGTTTTAAGGGCTTAATCTTAGCCCTCATTCTGTAGTTTAAAATAACAATTCTGCTTTACTGATCCTACTGTTGATGATATTTTGGAATGTGGAGTAGTTGGAGGATTTAGACAGCTGCTGTTTTGCATGGAAATTTTTATTCTGGTTCTGAACAGCTCAAATAATCATATAAACATATCTTATAATATTTCAAGCTTTCTTGCTGGAAAAATGACAGATGAGTGCAAATGCCAAAAGACCAAAGTTTAAAAAGGTTCACTGCACTCCAATTATGGAGGAACATAACATTTCAAACTGCAAAATTTGACACGTAACAAAAGACTTTGTCATGTTTATATTCCATTAATGATATTTCTTTATTGTGGCTTTCCCCCCGAAGATACTGAACACAATGTTTGCACTGTTTTGGATGCATGGAAAAAGTTTTCTTCCAAACCTTATGTTGAGCATCCCATCATATGAATGTTTACTTAGAAGTCAGTGCCTCTGAGTACAGAAAATAAAAATCCAGGTATAGATAGCATTACAAAACAAATCTTACAAAATTAAATGGATGTAAAACTTTTTCAGCTCTCTATGAATTATAGTCACATAATCTATTATGTGGGTGCATTAATATGCTGGCCTTTCTATCCCTCTTTCTTATCACACTGCTATATATTTAGGAACATACATGACTTGCAACATGCCTTGCAGTCTGGACTTGCTGTCACCTTCACAATTTGTAATAGGGACTTGAGCATGCATGCTTTTGTTGTCTCCGGCCTGAGGTAGAAGTGGGAACTATCCCGGAACCAATCTCTTGTGGATACCAAAGGCTCACTTAGATACATCTTTGTCCTTGGAGGCCTAAGTGTCTTCCGTGGCTAGAAGAACTGCAGTCTTTCTTGGCCAAAGATAATAAGTTGGCATAGTTCATGCACTGGAAACGGCCAGATGAGGCTACTATAATGGCCCCTACACAGAGCTGTCTTAGAATAAGACTTGGAAGCTACAGCTAATACAAAGTGTAGCAACTCAACTGCTGAGAAGCATGCAATAAAGAGAATGTCAATCTTTAAAAAATCGCTGAATAGATATCAGTTGCCTTAATCTTTATACACTTTTGAACATCTGTAACCTTTTGTGTATGTGGAAATGCTACTAGCCATGCTGATTGTTTTGACAGTCCAAAGTGACATTAGTTCAAATAATTCTATCTAAAATCACAGAACCAAGTGTCATGTTAAACTTGGAAATATTTTGATATATTATTTTTATGTAACATGCTGTGCAGGATCTTTCAAGTTTGAGTATATTGCTCTGCTGCTTGGCCAAACTTTCTTCCATTTTATCCTCTTGTTTATGGGTCCTTGTTCTTCAAGAGAAAGAATACTAAAAATTCTTCAGGCTAACAGTTATTCTTCCCCCTGACACTTACTCATAAAATGAAAAGTCTGTATTTACTCTTCCAACACATAAAAAATAAGCAAAATATTTTCTTGGAAAATGCAAGCATTGCCTTTTTTCTGAGATGTATAGTTTGACATCCACTTTTGATTTTTACGTTAGTCACTACAGACCCTATAGACATAATAGCCACTTCTTGGTAAGTGGTTGGGAATCCAGTTAGTATTCTGTCTTGATAGAAAACCACTGGGAGACCTTCATGGAAATAGAATATAAATATAGTGATATACTTAGGCAATCCCTCACTGTCGAAGTATGATAGCCTTCCAAGTGTAGTCTCTTGGTGATGGATACGTAGGTGACTGTAGAACCCTATTCTTGATCTGCATGTTTTTCCACAGTGAGGGCATAATGACATAAATCCTGCTGATAGTCTGAAAGGACTACTGAGTGATAGATCAGCACTTACATAGATTCAGGGGATTTAATGGGTCTACTATAGTTAGGACTTTTAAAAAAGAACATTATCATTGTTTTATGATCCCTGTTACACTAGTAACAAGATCTTGAAACAGGAAATTAAATGTGCAGGTTTTGACTAAAGGTAAATTTTCAACCCTGTGCCTTTTTTAGTAGGATGAGCTGCCCTGTAAAGCTTTTGTAGCAAAGTGAACTAGTGGTATTCCGGATGTTGTTGGATTGTTTGTCCAATCGGGCCTCTCCAGATAACGAGTGGTGAGCTGGGAATTGTATTGCCACAACTTGCACACCCCTGCTTTTGTCAAACAGAATTCATTGTACAACATGCCTACTATTTAACTTACAATTTGGTGACCTCTAATTGTAAAATCAATGTTATCTATTTGGCTTCTGAATTAAAGTTGCAAAATAAAAGTGAAGTATTGGTCGTGGTGGTGTGTGCAATTTCTTAAAAAAGCAAGTTGTCTCTTGAGAAAGTAGATTTTGAAATCCTGAAGTGGACATCTGCAGTCTTCTATTTATTTATTTATTTATTTATTTATTGCCAGGTTTGGAGGAGACCAACCAGTGTACATCAACATTATCAGAGATCCCATCAACCGGTTTTTATCCAATTATTTTTTTCGCCGTTTTGGAGATTGGAGAGGGGAGCAGAACCATATGATTCGCACTCCAAGCATGAGACAAGAAGAGAGATATTTAGTAAGTTGTCCTAAAATATTATATACTTAATAAAGAAAAAACACAACTTTACTCTTTCACTCTCTACTGATATATTAGATATCTGTATGTTGTTACTTACATATATATTTTCTGTCACTTGGACACTTAACATGATATAATGGTTTTGTTTTCATTTTTGTATTGTTTCCTATTACCAAATATCTCAGCATGGGTTGAAATATTAAAATCAGCTTTAAAATGATTTTAAGACTATTTAAATAGATTAAAATGGGTTACAGCAATAAAATATAACACACAATAGCAAATACCATGCTATGATCACTGAGCCAGAAAAGCTTAAGTAAAAAGCTAAGCTCAAAATTAGTGCTGAAATTAGAATGAAGTTGGTGCCAGTCACCAGATTTGGGACATCACATTGGTGAAGGCCCTCTTCCCATATCCACAATGTGTTGTATTTTCAATGATGGAACACATAGGAAAGCCACATTGACAGATAATGCTCCACCAAGCAAGTATATACAAGGAAACGTGCTCCTTTATAGATAGAGGTCTCGGGCAGGCTAGAGTTTTGAAAGCTATCATAGAATCAAAGAGTTGGAAGAGACCTCATGGGCCATCCAATCCAACCCCCTGCCAAGAAGCAGGAATATTGCATTCAAATCACCCCTGACAAATGGCCATCCAGCCTCTGCTTAAAAGCTTCCAAAGAAGGAGCCTCCACCACACTCCGGGGCAGAGAGTTCCACTGCTGAACGGCTCTCACAGTCAGGAAGTTCTTCCTCATGTTCAGATGGAATCTCCTCTCTTGTAGTTTGAAGCCATTGTTCTGCGTCCTAGTCTCCAGGGAATCAAAAAACTTACCCTTGGCAGCTTCAACTGGTTTTTGGAGGTTACTCCAGACAGCTACAGTGTGAATGAATGACACACACTCCATTTGTTCTAGTGTTAGTTCTTTTCTCAGAAGAAACACCATACAGAGCATACTTTAAAAATCAATGGATATGATCATGGTGTCTCCCCTGTCAGGTAAGTACCCCAACATCCCCCCTCCCCCCTTTTTCCTCCCCTCCCCAAGGTTTTTTATATGTATGTTTAAAAGCTTAATAAAAAATATTTTTTTAAAAAAAATCAATGGATGTTAGTTGTTGTTGTTGTTGTGTGCATTCATGTCATTTTGAAGAGATTTGATCTGAAGAGGTCACCTTTGCCTCTTGAGACAAGAGGGTGTGACTTGCCCCAAGGTCACATAGTGGGCTTCCATGGCCTGGTCTCCAAAATTGTAGTTCAATGCTTGAACCACTACGCTATACTAGCTTTCATGGAAGTTCATCAGTGCATTAACAATTGTGGCTTGGTGAGTCTATCTAGGAATGATGGCAGCTGGGCAAAATATGAAGTGCTTATTCCATATTTATTACAACAGAGGGTTCCATTCTTTTGCCCTGTGATCCTAACAAGCTTTTCACCATTTGGCATAATTATGTTTAGATATTGTGGTGGATGCAGTTTTTTCTTACTGTCTCATAGTAGACACAACAAAGTATTTCCTCACTGATTTGAACCATCTGTGTTCTAGTTAATGCCCAGTTAACCCAAAACATAATTTTGTGAATTCTAACATGTAAAGACAGGGAGAAATTCATAACTAAATAGCCATCAAAACTTTTAATTATTTGGGGAGAGAGTGGTTTATTGCATTGCTACAATTTATTATTGTAAATTAGTCTGTGATAAATAGTAGCCAGCAGTTTCTATTTTTCTGATAAATGTCTATTTAATCTAAAGCTAAATTATGTGTATAAATCCATTTATGATACATCATTGCTCAAGCTGGACTGTTTTTATATATATATACGAAAATAATATTACCTGGTTATTGGCATGCTATATGAATTCTAATTATTGAAATAGAAATCTAATCTAAGTAAGAAATGTTGTAATGAGATGAATAATTGAAATGCTTCTGTCAACAACAGTTCAGTTCAGTGTATTAACTCAGCTCACAAAACAGATTCTTTTTTTTTTTAATAAATTTTATTAAGTTTTATTGGATACAGCGAAAGAGGGGGAATATTGTCAAGAAGATAGTAAAGTAGGAAATTGATAGTGAAAGGAGACTAAATACAAATGAATGATTAGAAAAATATGTGCAAGAGAAAAAAGAAAATACCCAAAAATACCAGAAAAATCCAAAAATATGAGAAAAAACAAAAAACAAACAAAAACAAAACAAAAAAAACACACAAAAAGGACTTCCTTCTGATTCTGTCCGTATACGTTCTATTTAGTGTCTAATATTATATTTTCTTCTTTCCAGTTTGTTGCTACCTCAGTTCCATTAAATAATTTTGTACCCACTTCCAATATACTCGTCTATTATTGACCAGTTTGTCTGTCTAATTGGGTTACCAGTATTTTTTTTGAGTAAAAAAGTTAGTTTGTCCATGTCTTTAATTTCGTTTATCTTCTTTATCCACTCAAATTTGTCTGGTACTTCTTTCTGCTTCCAAAATTTTGCAAAAACCATCCTGGCAGCTGTTGTGAGGTACATAAATAAAATATCTTCGTTGGGGTCGAGAGTTATTTCCATGTCTGTAATTCCGAGAAGATAGTATTCTGCTTTTCTCGGAAATTTTTTATTAAAAATTAGCTGCATTTCTTTGTGAATGTCTTTCCAATACTTCTGGGTGACTGGGCACGTCCACCATAAATGAAAAAAACTACCATCCTGTTCTGCGCATTTCCAGCAGGCTTTCGATGTTCCATTATACATGTGGTGCAATTTGACAGGGGTCATGTACCACCTATGGAACATTTTCCACCAGTTCTCTTTTAGGTCCATTGCGTAGGAGTATTTAAGCTTTTTGTTCCACATTATTTCCCAGTCGCATAATGCTATGGGTTTTTTAAAGTTCTCAGCCCATTTAATCATACAATTTTTTATTGCTTCTGTCTCCGTTGACCATTCAAGTAGCTTATCGTATAATTTTGTTATGCATTTTGTTTCCGTTTCCATAAACTTATCCCAGAACACTTCTTTTATTTGAAAACCTTGCCTTTTATCAAGATTATATTGTTCTTTTATTTGTAAGTAATTCAACCAGGAGATTTTAGGAAAGATTTGTTTTAATTCTTCGTGTGGCTTCAATTCCGTTGAGCCCTTCCTCAGAAGGTCCTTATATGTCGGCCAGGTTGTCCAGCCCAGCAGCCTTCTCTGTTTAGCCTCCGTAGAGGAAATCCATAGCGGTGTGCTTGAATATAAGTATTTTTTATATCTGTCCCAGGTTCTGATGAGAGAAGAACGGACAAAGTGATTACCAAAATTCCTTTCCTTTTGCTCTCTTCCATACCAAATGTATGCGTGCCACCCGACCCGGAGGTCATGGCCTTCCAAAGTTAACAGATTTTCTTTTTTCAGTGCGGCCCAGTCTTTTGTCCATATCAACGCACACGCGTCATGGTATAGCCTGAGATCAGGAAGACCCAGGCCTCCTCTATTTTTTTTATCTATTAATACTTGGTACTTAATTCTTGACTTTTTCCCCTTCCAAATAAATTTTAGTAGGTCTTTTGTCCAGTTTTTAAATGTCTTAATATTCCTAATTATAGGTAGATTTTGGAACAAATACAATAGCTTGGGGAGTACTGACATCTTGATTAATGCAATTCTTCCCATGAGTGAGAGGTTGAAATGTTTCCATCTCTCCAAGTCTTTTTTGATGTCTTTCCATAATTTTTCGTAGTTATTGGACAGGAGCTGACCATTTTTAGGAGTTATCCAGATGCCTAAATATTTCATTTTATTAACAATTTGGAGGCCCGTAATTCTTTTCAGTTCTTCCTGTTTTTCTTTGGCCATATTCTTAGTTAAAATGGTGGTTTTATGTTTATTTAATTTGAAGCCTGCCAGTCTTCCGAATTCCTCTATAGTAATGAGCCATTTTTTAATATTTTCACATGGGTCCTCAATTATTCCAATTATGTCATCCGCATAAGCTCTGGCCTTGTATTCCTGTCTTCCTATTTTGACCCCTTTTATTTGTGTGTCCTCCTTTATTTTCTTCATCAATATTTCCAATGACATAATAAAAATCAAAGGGGAGATGGGGCATCCTTGTCTTGAACCTTTTTCTATTATAAATTCATCCGAGGTTTGACCATTGATCTGTATTTTAGCTTTTTGATTTTTATAAATTTCTTCAATTGCGTTGGTAAATTGGTGGCCCAAATCCATTTCTTTCATTAAGATCTTAAAGAAATCCCAATTCAAGTTGTCGAAAGCCTTCTCCGCGTCGACCGCGAGGAAGGCCATTTCTTTTTGTGGGTTGGCTTCAAAAAATTCTATCATGTCCATAACTATTCTCAGATTGTCCTTCGTACTTCTCTTAGGTAAAAAGCCAACCTGTTCCTCCCCTATCCATTTGCTTAAAAAGTTCTTCAATCTTTGTGCCAGAATATTTGTGAAGATTTTATAATCTACATTCAGTAACGAAATGGGTCTATAGTTTCGAACATCTGTTGGTTCAGTGTTTTCTTTATGTATTACTATTATCTCTGCGGAGTTCCATGTTTCAGGAATTCCGTTATCTGTAAAGGCCCCATTCATTACTCTTTTTAGCATCGGTATAAGCTCTTTTTTAAAAGTTTTGTAGTAGCCCGCCGTGAAGCCATCTGGGCCCGGCGCTTTGTTTGCGTCCATTCTCCTTATTGCCTCCTCAATCTCCTCCTCCGTTATTTCTTTATTTAAATCCTCTCTTTGAGAATCAGTAATTTTAGGAATATTAAACTTGCTTATGTAGTCAACTATGTCCTGTTTTAAAATTCCATCATTCTTATAAAGCTTCTCGTAATATTCTTTAAATTCCATTAGAATTCCTTTATCTGACATCACTTCCTCTTTTCCTTTCACAATTTTTATTATTCGTTGGGTCTGTTTCTTTTTTCGTACTTGTTTAGCTAACCATTTACCTGATTTGTTTGCATTCTCAAAGTAATATTGTTTTAAAAATCTTAACTGT